GTCACAGACCGGCCATACTCGTGGGATGTGTCGTTAGCTCATATCATTTTTCTTCGTCTTCCGTTGCTTACCACCGGTCTCGTCCGTCCCGAAGCCAGCCCTTGTCGGGCTATGTCGTTTTCATAAATGAACGAGGCGATTCGACGCACACTAGTATCACGCAGCGTACACCAAAGAGATCCACGTGAAATTATCTGTCGAGTAGGGCTGACTCCGAGGGTGGTCCCCGGCGAAAGGAGTGTCGTACGGTGCCTCCCAGAGGCAAGGGTGGCGCAAGCAAATTGTCGGAACGAAGATTGAACGAGGCGCGATCACGATGGATCGCTACATCCAACATGCAGGACTTGCAATTCGTCGCGAACTGCTAACATTTTATAAGATGCATCGATTTAACATATTTTAAAGTTTGGTTTCCAAATGCTGGAGATTATTTTCGAATTCTAATTTTCCCGAAAAGAAAATATTTAAACTTGAAATTCTCGTAATATTACGCAACTATCGGTGGATTATAATTTTTAACGTACAATAAGGCTATAGATGAGAAACTTTAACGTTTGCAAGGTTTTTGGATAATTAAACACACATTGTTAGCAACTACCTTCTTTTTTTGCGCTGAAGATTTATTCTTTACTTTTGCATTAATCGATAAATCTTTTTATGCAATATTCTCGTCATAACGTTGACATCGTTCACTTGTACGCGGATCCGTTCTGAAAGACGCGTATTTTGATGGCATACTATGATGCACGAGGCGGACGAGCGTTATGAATGTACCGGAGGCAAAGAGTTTCAGGTTTCCTCGCCCGGTTTATGTGATCTCGTTGGTAAATCCGTTTGACAAACAACCCTCCATACGCGAATGCCTTGAACGAGAGCACAGTGCTCTTTTATGGGAGCTACCTAGTTGCATCATTATCTGCGAGTAATAGCTCATAGTTATCTATGAGTACGTTGGAAGCGTACGAGTTTCTTTCGCGAAACGCTTCTTCGGACTTGTTATCGGCGAATACTTTGAACAACGCCGGATGTACCTTATCGGCGATTGTTATCGGTGATTCTTCAGCTTTCAATTAGAACCGCAACTCGAGAATATCGTATTTGCAAGTTTTTTCGCCGTTAAGCGTCGGGAAAAAAAATAATGATTCTTTTTAACAATGCTTTTAAAAAAACATTTTTTACAAAATACCATATTTCTGTCAAACGTTTTTGATGATAATTCGCTTTCAATTACGAAATGTCATTTTAATTAAATAAATTCTTGTCTATTCCGTCTGTCCACAACTGTCACGAGATCTTGCATTTTTCATCTGTTCTTTATATAAAGCTCTTCAATAAGGTTCTTCTTGATGGTTGCGAATTTTTGTAATTTATATTTAAACAAGGCGAGTGATCTAACGTGCGCCTTCAAAGTCGCACTATGACAGTATTGTAATGACTGCATTGGGAACTGTTGAATGATAATTTTTGCACATTAGCTCATTGTTCTTATTGCGATTTGCAATGCATTTTATGTGCCTGCGAAAGAGCCGTCTGGCATGCGTTTTTGCATATATCCTTTGACGTGGAAAAAGGGTGAAGAGCAGAAGGAAGCGGGCAAAGAGTTTCGTGCTCGTTTTATGATCTCGTCGCTACGTCGCTAAGTCCTCTCGACAAACGACCCTTTGTACGTAAATACCTTAAATGAGAACGGGGATGTTCTTATCTCCCATTAGTTTGTCGCGTAATTTCTCATTACAATGCGAAGATTATAGTTTACTTGGAGTTTCTGAATTTTAGTCACCGAACCGGAAAATCTGTTTCTTTTTTCCTCATTTACTTTACTTCCTCAAAATCCTGCACGGAGTTATTAATATCACATCTTCGGGTTTATCATTTTACATTTCTCGATATATAAATGCGATTCTGTTAATTAACGAAAGTGCCTTGTCATGAAAGCATCAAGTAAAACGAAACTGTTTTTTTTAATCATAATATTGTATCAATTCGGATTTTTTCTACATTGCACTCTCATCAGTTGTAATTCATTTTGTAGAGTGAAATATTTTTTTATGGAGTGAAAGCAGAGACGGTGAATGTTATATTGTTCGGCTGCGTATTATTGCGCAGTACGATTAACAAAGCACCCTTTTACGCTTGAATGATGTGGAAAAGGGTGAATTGGGTAATCGACAATTCAAATTTCTAGAATGGAAGTTCTCGTTGATACGAAAGCTGCCAAAGTTACCCTCGTCATGGATGCAACCTGTGTATCGGACTTATCGAAAGTTTCGTATCGTCATAGTCGTTCGATGACTTGCTTACCTGTGTGAAAGCTTTCCGTACGTTTCTATACGAAAACCCTTCTTTTGGCGGGGAAGATTGAAGAGTAACTTTAAAGGATGAAGGATGATCGCGATCTTCCAGCTTTGTGTCGTGTTTCCGACACACACTATGTATCATAATACGTGACACTTTTTAAGTCCGTGGAATTACCATTTCTTTTATAAATCAGATAAGCAGCGTGAAGTGCTTTGGAAATTTTTCTATCATTATGTTTATATCGCTTTAAATTTTACGTATCAGAAACTGAGCAAAGAATTCTTTCATTTTTGCCTGTAGCTCTTGTATTAGATAAAGAAAAGCAAATTTTTTGATGAATCCGGTTTGATTAATTATCCTTGAACACGTATTTCATTATATTTTATCGAGATGAGAAATAATTCTTTTATGAAAACAATTTGTTCTCTTTTGTGAACTATTGTTTGAGAGAAGTGCATGTTTTTGATCGCACAGTGGTAATAGCACGAACATCGTCCGCCTTTTGTCGAGACAAGTAGATATATTACTTGCGCGGCATTAATCGGTAGATCTTGCAAACTCGCTCTGTCACGATCGTTTGTTTTATACTCTCACTTGAATGGAGGCTTTCTCCAGGTTTTCATGCAAAGCGCCTTATGATAGGAAAGGGTGAGGCTCGAAAGGACGTGGGGTAACCGTGATTTTGCAGTTTGGCGACGTAATTATTCAAGAATTTAACTGTATATTTGTTTCTTTGATTTCTCAATTGACAAGCGCAAACGGTACACGAATTGAGTGCAATTTGCAAGACGCAAGATAGAAATATCACGACCCAATTAGTTATTTCAACATTCTGACAATATTCATGCGCATTCTATTAAGTAAACACTGTTCCAGAATTGTCAATCTTAATCTATATTTCAGACCAATAATGCGCGACTTGAGATCAAATTTGCACAACGCTATTATAGTCTGTGATGTGTAGCCGTATTTATATGGCATTAATCTGTAATAACTACAAGAGTTGTACAATCACTAACCGATCGAAACGCATATATAAATTTTAGATGTAATATTCAGCGATAAGATTTTATTCAATATACAATTGTATAATATTGCTGACGCGTTCTCTCTTCGCTTTATCTTGATTATAAATCCCTTTTATACTCGACAATCGCCGTCGGTATACTGCAAACGCGGATAAACGCCCCACAAGATGCGATTCCCATCGAATCCACGTTAAATCAGATGGAACGTAGGGACGGCGGGACGAGGTGAAAGTCGCTTTCAGAATCGTGCACGCTCGATATGGAGACATACCCCGCGATTTATATCTCCGTTGATAAAACGCCTCCTTCTGTCTAACGTTCGCGCCATCCTTCGCATTTCCTTCCTCAGGAAGCTTGATTCTGCGAAGAGGAGGGAAGTTGATTTCTATCGAGTGAGCGCCAAATTGAATCGCAGTCGATTTTTCCGTACGCGGCGAGATGCCGCGTAAGAAGATACGATATAGATTATCTGTCTCTCTCCACTGTTCGCGCGTTTCCTCTCCGCGCCGTCCGCTTTGAAATTGCCGCCTGGCAGATATACGATAAGCCATTGTCAATTACCGCACGTATCAGTTTGATCAACTTCGAGATTTATTTTCTCGATGATTGACAGGCGGCAATCGTTGGCCGAGGGAGCAAAGACGGAGAGGGGGGGAGAAGTGGGATGACGCGGAAGGAGGGTTTGCGGTGGTTCGGTTGTGCCGAATTGGAATGAAATGGCAGAATCACAAAAAGAAATACATTCTCCATCGACCTCCGCCCCCGTCATTCTCTACGGTGAAGGTTTATACCACGAAACGATTTCGCGTCACGAGCAGAAATTTTCGTCCCTAGTTCCGCCGCGATGCGATGTTCCACAGCTCTTTTTTTTCCCTCCCTGGCCATTGTTTTTGTCCATTGCGGCGCGCGGATCAACGTGGAAATATATCCTCGTTCGAGGATTTTAATGTATTCCAGAATTTCGGCCGGCACGTCCCGCTGGTAGCTGTCACAGGGTAGCTGGACGAGAGATGATGGATTCGGTAAAATTAAATGACGGATTGCGGTATCTCTTTTTGACCTTGCGCTATTCTCCCTTCCATCTTCGTTCGTCAAACATCGAACGAATAAATTTCTATTGCCCTAGTTGCCCGGAGCACGATTACGGAGATCTCGAATCGTTGAATTTAAACGGTGCGTCCGTATCGAACGCGAGCGTACAGGCGCGTGAGTCGACTGCACAATAAAGTTTCATAAATTTCTTAAGAGAAAACATTACATTGCCCGACCTCGCGTTTCTCCGGTCCGAGTAAAAAGATGACGCGCAGTTTTCTAGGGTTGATATACGTTTGGTTGCGCTTCTTACATTTTAAGGGCTCTATTAGATGTTATTATTTCTGCGTTAATGTTAGAAGAAAAGCTATTTAGAAGAAGAGCTATCGGGTCCCACGTATATCCTACGTATGAAAGCAAAGAAAAATTGTTTTACAACGAAAAGGAAATTTTTTTGCAATTATTACATTGATATGAATTAGAAATATATAAATTTTGCGATCGATGAAAAATTCTTTATCGGTCACAAGCAAGATTATTTTTGTACGCGTGGAAAAGAGTTGCGAAGAAGACAACATATATCACTTGTTTGTACAAGATATGAGCACATAAAGTATCCTGTGATACGATTAATCGCCTTACCAGAATCGAAAGTTACTTCGCTGACCATGATCCATCGATCCGAGAAGTGGAGTCTCAGCTTAACGAATTTTCCAACTCGGTGATGAAGCTTGATCGTGATGTTCCGAGAAGTCTCGAAGATCTTATCCTCCATGTAGGTGTAGGTAATAGGTTCCCCCGTGTAATATTTTCCGCCAATACTGAAGAGTATGTCGACCTCAGAAAACACCTGCAAACCAAACAAGTACTCTAAGTATCTTATAAACGTGAATTTAATAAGAGAATACGAAATTATTTAAACTGATGTGAATAATCAACTGAAAATAATGATATATCTACACTTGCTACGGCTTAGCTACGGCTGAAAGGCATCTTATTAGTAAATAATTCAAGGCTGAGTAGCGCCAATGGCACACGAATTATACAGTGAATAAGCGCTCGGATAAAATTTATCGTGTGTATTACGCGCATGAGTGTCTCGTCGGCATAAAAGAGAAAACACAGTACATATTTCGCAACAGCAAAATTCCTATTCTGCTTCTCCGAGCTACTTTTTCACCTTTTGAACAACCGCATCGCGCGCCCGTAAATTTTTGACCGCGGATAGCATTTTTCAGGGTTGACTACTTTCGTGACCGTAAATTCATGGACGACGACCTGACAGGAAAGGAATTTCGTCGTCACGGAATGCAGGCCCTTGCTGGCTCCCCAGATGAAATTGAGGTCGATGGAGATTGCGTCGAAATATCGCGCGCCCGAGATCGATTTCGATATTGATCGTCGAATTGGTGTTGTGATTAACTGCGACTAGTCGCTGCGCGGAAAAAATGATTCCCGCTACAGTTAAGCGAATAGCTCCGGCTTGATATGAAATAAAACGGATTACGCCGGTGGATATTAGGTAAAATGAATACCCGCGTGCCTCGACATTGATGGATAGAGTCGACTCGAAAATCTCACCGCTCGAAGAAGATTTACCGACAAAGTAGAGCCTGGATCTTTCGCGTTCCCCTCCCTTGCGCGAAAAAGCTGTGGTACTTTTGAGGATGTTATAAAAGTTTAATGTGTCCCTAAAGTTCGATGGAGTATGTGATCTGACCATAAATCAACTATTATCCGAGGTATTATCCGAGATTTTTTTTTGTTAGCAAAAGTATCGCGATATTGCATCCAACACAATATATCTCTGTTCATTCGCCGGGCTTGAATTTACAATCCGTTCTTTCCTTTTTTCTCCGTCCTTTTTTTTATTATAAAAGTCAACGTAAAAATATGATGTTCTTTGCGTCAGCGCGCAAATTGCAATCTGCCGTACGTGGAGACGGGAGAGGAAGGCAGGGAGATGATAGAACCGCGGATCGATCCGTTTACTTTCGCGAAGAATGGCGATCTGTGAGAGTACAGCGTTGAAGCGCGGACGAAATCGAATCGAATTTCATCGTGTAAATGCCGGTGTGGGAAAGCGCAGCGCGAGTGCCTAAACGGTCTTGTATGCCGAGTGTGCGAAGTGCCTGTTGAATATTCGTAAGTTACGGGCTATTTGAAATTCCGAATATCCGGCGATGACGACGCGACGGATAATCTGGAATTCCGTAAGTTTCGATTAATGTTGAATAATTTCCGGGGGAGGAAGGTTCTTAAGTGGACGCCAGGCTCCGCAAGCAAGCTGGATGCCTTCCATCTTGGCTTACGCAGTCCACGGCGAGTAATTTGCCGAGGAATTCTATGTGTGCTGTATTTCGCTGGAATTGGAGCGTGGAATATCATATCGCGTAAAGTTGACTGTCAAGGAATATAGCGTGGCTGAGCGCGTGTAAGAGTTTGTAAAGCGGTGATTCTTTGAAGGTTATCGAATTACCGAGTTCACGAGCGACAAAGTAAGCTCCTTCTGTACTTGATTCATGTATTTAATAATGATAATACAGCTTCCCTGTGTATGCTAAGTAACTTGATATTCTTACCGGATTATGTGTTATTTTTTATTATTCATATATGCAATTTAAAAGTTTTTGCGAAGAAAAAGAACACTTTATTAGAAAAGCAACGAGGCTTATCGATGAGATTTTTGCGGAATGCCGTCTAGGAAAAATTGTCCTTATCGCGATGCAGGAATGCAAGATAATAAAGTGTCAGCAAATTCCTCCGCGATGTCTTTATTTTCTCATTCTTGTCTCGTATTTTACACGTTCGATGGTGCGGTCGTAGGAGGATCCGGAATACATTTCCAATGACGCGGGAGACAGGGAGTCGGCCTATCAGATTCGGTTATCCTAATCCGCGTCATGTAAATCCAATTTCCAGAGGTTTATCTCGCGGCAATGGCAGCCGAGGGCGATGTACGGTGCGGCGGGAAGACGCGGGATCTGACGGTAACAGCAGGTAGTATCGACATATCGATGCACCTTGCGCGCCCGGCGAACGCGTAGGTGGTGTATGAAGATAGGTTGCCATAAAACTCGTTTGTACGAGCTTTCGTTCCGTGCTACGTTGCTGCCGAAAGTCTCTGGAAAAAAGACGAGATATATATTCCAGCAGAGTTAGTGTATGTACACGGTGAGTGAGTTTGCTCAGGTGCGCGCATTGTGAATGTATGAAAGCACAACGATCAATTCACAATTAAATCTTTTAAGTATGACAGTGTGCTTTAAAGGCAAATATCACGAGTTGAAGAATTCGCGAAAAATATCTAACAAATAAATGCTGCTTGTGGTAAAAAACAACGTCGCTTGCAATCTCGTTGAGTGCCTGGATGCTTTATATGCGCATATTTAAATAACCGACATTTTTTCTATTATTTGCCGCGTAATGAAATAGGTATTAAGAAATGAGAGCGCGCTCTTGAGAAATAATAAATGGCTGAATTAGGGAACGTAGAATTTCGCGAATAAATTTATTGGCGGAGCGTTATCGAGTTGCAGGTGCAGCTCTCGGGGAAGCGAGGTAACGGGTTGTATTAGAGAGATTCCTAGAATAATTATGACACGCGTATACATTCCATTTCGTTCCATTAGTCGGCTGCGGAGTTTTATGCATTACGCTGAATAGGTAATGCGTGCCTTCGTTCAGCCAAACACGTAGCGTAGGGAAACGTCCGTCAGCGAAATTGAAACGGATCCGGGAGGAAAGAGCATTCGTAAATAAAATCGGCGCGAAAGAGTGTTACATCGACTCGGGACGCGCAATCACGCGAATTTATGCACTTTGACGAAATGGCACTCTTACGCGAATGAGAGAGGTATTTTCCTACCGCCGGAATATCAGACAACGAGAGGGATCTCCGCGCGATAGGGCCTTTCGTGTCTCTTGTCCTCTCTACTGAAACGAGTAAAGCGGGTAAATTCATTCTTCGTGAATAAGCAGATTCGTCCCCCTCTTATGCTTATTACATTACGACGCAGTGAGCGTACGCCGGAAAATTATCAGACTCCGGAACGATCCGCGCATGCGATCTCGCGCGAATTTTCAGCTTCCCGGCGGAAGCTGTTTTGATGACCGGCTCGCATCGCGATCCATTAACGTACGCGGCGGACATGTTTCACCGGCTGCCGCCGCTGAAGGGGGAAGATTGGGCATATCAAAGATGCGGAGAACGGAGCTCTCTCCGCATTGTATTAGAGCTCGAGTTTATAAGCTCGTGCGCGCGTCGACGAACTAGCAGCGCCCGTATGTAAAATCCAGCGATGCGGAAGAAGGGAGTTCGGAGAACGATGATCGGCTGTTGGGTACTGCTACGTCGAGGCATCGACCACGAAGAGGTTGCAACGTGGCCGTTTTGGAGGACCGCTGACCGCTGCATCAAAGACCGGGTGCATTTATGGCGCGCCGCCGATGTGGTGGTCGTCTGCCACCGTAGTTTCCATGCCCGCGCAGCGGTGAGGGTAATGCGTGTGTATAAGGGACTTTGTAATTATTGGGTTTAAGCGAAGGCTCTGTCGGTTTTTCAGCGTGGCCCGCCCGATTATCCGAATTGGTTATCGAAAACCCATTAGTACGCTCACGATGAGGCGCTCGTTTTTGTCACTTTTTTTTTTACGTTTGCGGAGGATGCGGATGCGCCGCTCATAAATTCGGCAATAATTCTTCGATATATCAATATGCGGGCTTTTAGTATTTCTGCAAACGAGCCCGAGCTCTCCTGACTAAGATATTGATTTACGAGAGCGCGCGTCATCTTATATCTCGCATTTCCACGGCGCTTCTGCGAGGAATCTATCGGAATTTCGCTCTTTTAATATTTTTCGTGTAATGCACATTTGTATGCTTTTTTTTTAGTGTTTTATACCGCTGCGTATCGCGCGAATACTTATTGGGCTTTACGCGTTCGTGATACGCCGTATGAATTTATATGATTTTTCGCGGTAATGTAAACGCCATTCCGATTCATCGTTATAGCACTATATACAGTACAGTCTACCATGCAGCACGGATTATAAAGTATATAATCCATTTATGGTCTATCTTGCACGCGCACATTTTTATGTTATCCACTGTGCGCGCCGCACGATAAGGAATACCGCTCGCGATATTCGCAACGAATTTCATCGCGCGGCTACATTCTAATTTACGTTTAACAGGCTATTAAAGTTTATATACATTCGGCGGGAATCTGGGGTGAAGTTGAATCGTAATACGAACACTACACCGGGGGGATGTTTGGGAGGGTGATCACTGAACCCAGCATCAAAGAGTATACGCGTTTATACCGGATTGCCCGCGTGCGCCCGGCTGTATTTGCGCTTTGTGCGAAATATTCGCCGTTCGCGCACTAGTTTGTTAACGCGCGCGCACGCACGCACGGCTATGCGTCCCGTGGATTTTCGGCAGGTTCCCGAAATTTCTCGATTTTTGCGGCAATCGTTTCGGTAACGTTGCTTCTACAGTCGGATGTACGGCCCCTCCGGAAAAAATCGAACGGTTTCACCAGGTTTCCCAGTAACGCAAAACTAACGGGGGTATGTTTGAAGGATCTGCGCTTAACGACGCACTCGAAATACTGCAGATCGAAGTTTGTTACCGTTTAGATTGCCGGGTCAAAGCGCGCTTTTATTTACAGTTTTCCATACGTACGACTAATACTACGTTATATCTGCGTGATATTCACTTGCGTCCGCGGTTTTTTCCGCAAGCAAGATATTAACCGTAGTATTTTCGTGGTTTTTAACACAAATCAGTTTTTTAAATGTAATTGTTAATAAAATATTTGTAACAAAATGATTGTTTATATTAATCAAATCAGACAAAATTACGCCGCGAAGATTCGATCTGATATAGCGATATTTTTTTGATGAAATATATCAATAATAGATACTTCTCGCTTATAAAAAATTAATAATAACTGAATTTTTGCGCAACACCGGATTACGACATAATCTCACCTTTCTCCCCGTGATTTCAGCGCGAAAGAATTATTCGGGGCAATTTTACTCGGATCAAAATTCGGCGCTTCCGTTTCTGGCAACGTTCAATAATCTCCCATGCATATTTCACCGCACGCGCCGTCGAACCTCTAAACGAACTGTAGCATATGACAGAATATGCGCGCGTGTTTAAAGCGGATTTGTCTCGGGTATGATGAAACATGCAATATGTACGGCATACATCGCGTCGTCGGAGATGTCGAGTTTCCATATTTTCGGTATGACGTCAGCGGACGGCCGTTGTAATGCGCGATTACCGATGATGAACGTTTACACATTATGCGTACTGCCATTTCCGCGTCCCTCGTTTTCCCCTTGTTTTTCCCCGTCTACGCGCCGTCTTCTAATATTTCTCCTAATAACGGGTATTATCGCTATTCATAGATCTCGCATTCTGTTGCGTGTCTTATCTCCTATAATAATCGCGATATCAAGACGCAAATTGTAATGAGGAAAGCGCATTGTAGCTTTGCTATAATAAAAGTGTTGGAGCTTGTATGTAAATTGCCGCGGGGCGAGTGTCGTAATACTATCGAGATGTCAGATCTACATAGGATGATGCGGCGAGGTTGCGATTTGTGGGCAAACGGAAATTACACAACGGATCGAATTATAACTCGGCGTAAGCACGAGGAATCCTCTTTATAAGCCGCCCCCACGAACTCATTTCCGCGGCTACAACGCGCTGAATCACGGATACGGCGAATGATGCGAAAAGTTTCCTACTTGCCTCTCAAGGAGCATCCGGGGGAATTGTTTTTCTTCCATCAAGTATCTCTGCTCGAATTTTCCGGCTTCTCTTTAAGTTTCGCGAGTAAAAGTTGAAATTACGAAATAGGGGTTACGTCCTGGATGAAGAACGTAAAATGCGCGTGAGCGAAATTTCGCATCCATCACGAATCACGACAGTTGGTTTATTATGCAATTTATTACAATTATAATTACTATTGTATAAAGAACTTTATTGCAATTTTATATTTTGATATAATAATTATTATCATACCGAGTATTATACCGCACAAATACGTTTCTCAGCGTCCGAATTCTAACTAAGCAACGTATGCCGTTACAACGTGTGTGCGAATTCCCCGCTGGGATCCACAAGATTCCTCGCGAAATAACGCGGCTAATAGCGCGACTCAACGCGATCATCAAGACCGAGGTGGCAGATATCAAACTGTCGGAATTGCTGCGCCGCGGTGTATTGATATTCAACGGGCGTCTGCCTGATAAAGCGTCGAGCGGAATATTCAATCAAGCGTGGCGGCGAAAAGCACGGGACGGGGGCGGACGAACGAAGGGGTGCGTCTTGCCGACCAGATGCTGCGCGACGGCTAAAGGCAAATGATGACGGTAAAAGGCGGAGAGGATCGTAAAGAACCGTGGTGAGCGAGCATGTTGATCGACGCTGCTTGCGCATTCCTGGCGGGGAATAACGTCGCTAAAGCGAAGGTAAACGATTCCACGGCGTCAACGAGTTCACGAGAGGGGAGGAGAGATCCTGGAGATGTAATTCGATATAGCAAGTGGCGCGTGCTCTGTTTTGATCACGTGGATTCTTCTAGCTTCTCCCGGAGTTTTATCCGTGCGGAATTGCGACGAGTAGTCCGAGAGATTAGACGTGTGTTTAAAGCGAAGTGTATTTCGTGCGGGAGAATAGAGAGAGATCCCTTCGCGCATTTCTTCCTTTCGCGCGTGTGATGTATCTTCGCTCGTAGTCCCGGCTCTTACCGTGCGCACCGGGTAATCTTTCAATAGAAAGGATTTATGTCATACACTCCTACGTATTATATTACGGTAATAATCGCAGTAACGTGTGTGTCATCCACTGATTTATACACTTGCCTCGCGTCAGAATTGCAGCACGAATGCAACGAGTTGCGTAACTAGTTCAGGATTGTTTATAGTTGCAAGATTTCTCCGCGACGTTATTCGACGTTATATCCATTTCGTAAACGTTGTTATAAAATAATTAAAAAAAAAGGAGTTAAAGATATCAATCATTTTGATTAAAAGCTCAAGTACACAAGTATTTAATTACTAACCTGGACGCCTTTGGTGAATTCGTTATTGCAGTAAATATGGACGGCGGAGAATTCCCTGACTTTGTCGAACTCGAACTTGATCTCGACCGGCTGGCCGCGGCTATCGTTCCTCCAGCCGACCCAGCCCTGGGCGCGTTCGTTATCGTAGTGCATTTTGAAATAATCAGGCCCCGTTCTGCCGTCAGTTAGCTGACCCAGGCCACGGCGCAGCTCGCCGTCCCAATGTCCGTCGTAGGTCGCGTCGAAGAATTCCCATGCGCCCCTTTTATCGCCCTGGGGCATCGAATAAGATACCACGCCGTCTGCGAGAGGGAAAAGATACGATGTTGACCCTTCTATCTCGACGACGATACTGTCTTTGACCTTCTCGAGAGCGACTCGAGCTTACAGAGACTTAGACGACTCTTTTAATCTCTTTACAACGGATATAAATTTATATAGTAAGATAAATATAAAATTTATAGGTGGTCGATGCGTTTCAATAAAATTTTTAACGCTTGATTGAAGGAAATAGATATGAGCTAAGCCCGCGGAATAATATATTCGATCTTTTAAAAAACGTAAGAAGAAGCTATATAACTTTAAGTAAGAGCAACATTTTTTTGCGCTCAACGCGAAGCAATGAAAATGTGCAAGAAACCGGAGAGGAATTGATTTTTGTGCGCATTTGAAACTAGTTGCTTAAATTGTTTACATAATAAACTGTTTATGCGAGTATTGGATGACGTAATGGTCTAACATGCGTACTAATTATTCACCGTGCTTCCGCCATTGAGAGCGCCTATTCGACGCCCGTAGCTAATTCGATTTCCGGTCGAAAACGGAATTATACGAGCAAGATTTTGAAAAGCAAATTTGCTCTGGGCGCGCTGGTATCAGGGTTAATGGACAGTCCGGCGGGGTGTACCAGTCCGCGGCAAGTTTCACGAAAATTGGCGAGTGCAAACAGCTTACCGCTCCAGTAACACCCGTAGAGCTCGACCCGCATGCAAACCGTCCGCCTGTGATAGCTGTAGGGCAGAAAACGGATCTTGCTCGCCCACAGAGGCGGCTCCAGCTCGTGCTTGGACTCCAAATACGTGTTCGTGTTACCCTGTATTACCTGAAAGCACAGAGAAGCGCCGGTTCAAATACAGGACAATTTCAGTTTTCGGTTCGGCACGGCGTTTGAGCTTTACCAGACTGTTTGGCGTGAGTCTCATTACCTCTCTTTCGCAACGGCGTTACATTAACCTCGGACAGTCGGGATATTTGGGCACGTGCGCCCGTTCCCGTTCTATCGCGCTTTTTGTATCGAGCGATACCGATGTACGAGTGGCGAATGCAAAGCAGGCGTACTCTTGCCGCGCATCGATTCGGGGGTTCCTCGAGATAGGAATTTTTAATATCGTTTTATATCGTTTATTTTAGAACTGACAGTTTTGTTGTCGCTGTGTAACTTTAATGCGTGCACCTCATGCATACATAAAAGCGAAGAAGTCTATTGCCATTATCGACAAACTATCTTGATGCGAAAGAACTATGCCGTCACTTCAGCGGGCTTGACCGCGTTAATGAATTTATGACATCCTTTCGCAAAAAGAACATCGTTCTCGTGCATATCAATCAGCCGGCCTGGCGGGTCGGAAAAAGCATCCGACGCGTTACTTTATATCTCTTTTGGTACATCGCGATTGTCTGGCAGGTGGTCGATGACATTTATATCGTCCGGACAATGCCTCCGCTTCAACAGCGCGAAATGCTGCTTGTCCCCCTCCCCCTCCCCCCTCTTCTCTCCCCCGCCTCCTCCGCCGCTGGACTTGGATATGTCCTGTCATAGAATGGACATCGCGTTCCACGGGATCAGACGGGGGCTAAGGACTAATTTCACCCTACATTCCACCGCGTTACATCCGACAGAGATGCACGGAGAGAGCGAGGCGCAGACACAGGGCAAGCGGACACACGGACCGGACGGGCGAATCGTAGAGGGACGAAGGATTCGCGGCGGACGTGTAGGCGGAAGGGTAACGGCGTACAAGAGAGAGAGAGAGAGAGAGAGAGAGAGAGAGAGAGAGAGAGAAGAGAGAGAGAGAGAGAGAGAGAGAGAGAGAGAGAGAGAGAGAGAGAGAGAGAGAGAGAGAGAGAGAGAGAGAGAGAGAGAGAGGGGAGGAGGAGGAGAGACAGACAGAGAGAGAGTGAGTGACGTTGAGTGAGTTAAACGTCCGCCGTCCGCATTCCCTGATCCCCGTCGAGGCGGCGAACGTGTTGCCGTCGTTGACGACGTCTCTCTCTCCTCGAGCGTGCAGGGGCGACGGTGCAATATTGATTCCACGTTGTGGGTTTATGAATAAAATAAGCGGTTTATCCGACGGCGGTGTGTAGGGTGGCGTACGGTGTACAGAGGGTGCGGGACGTGCGGGCGGATGGTACGGTCCCACGGGATCACGCGAAGTGGCGTTGCCCATGGTGAGTAGATAGCCAGGTACGCTTATATACGTAGGTATACGCGACGCGCGCGCGCGCGCGCGCGCACACACACACACACACTCGCGTATACGCCGGACTACATGGTACATATTATACAGGGTGTATCGGAAGTCGCGCGTTTTCTCTCCCGCAATTATGAATTTTCCGGTGGACTTGAAGGCGATGTCTCTTCGACGCGAATCTGACGGAGCGGTTAATTATCGAGTTATTTAACATTGGAAATTGAACGGCGAAAGTGTAAATAGATAACAAGAGGTCAATTTTAAACCGAGTGTACCCAAAGACTCACTTCAACGGAATTTTAATTCGGAGCTTGATTAGTGGGATGTTTAACGTCGAAGATTGAAATGTAATGACCACGTCGACGGCAACTTGATCATTTTTTTTTCATAAAAGACACTTTGTTAAGGTTGTCGACTAATCTCGAGACGGGAGAAAGTACGTGAATTTTTGACACACTCTGTACATGGACAGGCGTACACGCATACAGGCGCGCGTTTTCTCTTAAGGTAGGTGTAAATGGTGTATACGAGTGTCCGTGGCTGAAACTGTATGAACATGCGAACGTGCGGCGAGAGGCTCGCAACACAGTCGCGTGACAGAGCGTTTTGCGGCAGGTACGACGCATTCTGCGCACGTCTCGTAGCCGAACATACGTTCCATGCCTTTAGCCACCTTCTACCACTTTTCGGTGCACTCATACGTCGACCTCGACTACTATCATTGACATGCCGGCCGGGACTCTACGTGAAGGCACTAGCTGTCGTCCTTCGGAGTCCTTACGGACTTGGCACATACTACACATACCCATTCCCGGGCTAAGCAACTGACCTCTTTTCATCCCCTTCGCATATCGACTTTATTTCTTATTTCGTACCTCCTGAGCGCGCGATCGCTATCTTCAAGTGGCGCTTCAATTGCTTTAAGATTTTCAATTTTTCGAGAACACTATTCGCCCCGCGTCTCGGACCGCCCAGCCTGTTTGCGGCACACATATAGCGCAGTTCAATTACCGCCACCAAGACGTAAAAGCATTTCATGGGTTTCCACTGGCAACCCTTGCTTCCACCCTTCCAGACTCGCGCGGCCGCTCTCTCCTTCCAGAAACAGACACTTCGAAAGTACTCCCCAAGGCGCGCCCTTACCTCCTTACCAACGGATAGCTTACTGCACCCTGGGTGAAAAACCTTCCTTTCCCTGTCCGGGGGTCGATTCTTTCTCATTTCATGGCAACTAGGGACCCATTTTAGCTGCGCGTTATGTTGCTGCCAGTTTCCGCAGCGGCGTAGCATCAAGATCTTGCATCTCCGACATTTAACTATCTGTTCGTGTTTGCGGAAAAGTGCCCATATATCTATCGCAATAGTTGGATAATACTAAAATTAGCAATCGCCAATTAACAAAATATCAAAAGTTCGTAATATGAATCGCGAATATATATACAATATTTAGAATTATATATAAATTTAAATTACTATTTGTTTTTAATATTCTTTTTAATATTGCAAATATTTTGTCATGTGAGAAATTAAATTGATCAACAGAGGAAATATAGTGAAAGTTTGTACATTGTTGAAATATCTCGCATATTTCGACAATGTTGCTAACTATAAAATTAACCGGATCTCGTCAAACTTGATTATAACACGTATAATATTAATACATATATAATATGCGTCATACGATTTATATCGTATTATTAATTTGCATTAGATTATTGATTCATGAGCATAATTACCATTTTCATGCGCTATTAATCATCTAATCATCATATGTAAATCGTCGAATTAAATGCTTTTCATCCTGCCGCCGCACGATGATTCGTGATATGTATATATGAATCATTGTGCATCATGTAATATTCGCATGTATTATTAACAGAGTACATGCATATATACGCGAGAGATAATCATTAATTTTTATCACTTTATTAGCTAGATAAAGTTTCGAAAATTTAATACTAATTTACTTTGTAAGATATTATGGCGAATAGTATCTACGTGCCTTTCCTTAATTTTCTCTCTTCCATTTTCTCCTTTCGTGCCTGCGTGCATCTTGCTGCCCATAAGGGTCAAGTGGTAAGCAATGAACGATTACAAGTATCGACCTCGTAATGGTCCTAATCGAGACCTTATGGTTGCACGGAGAACATGCACATTTATCGTTGCTTCAAATTGTTGGAGAACCACAATAATTTGTAATTTATATAAACTGGTAATGGCGGGTTTTGAAAAATAGAATTATACGACACTTTGTACATAATTAGACGATAATTTAACATAAAATCGAACATGTAGCTATCTTGAACATTTTTAATTTTAATTAACTTTTGAGCAAAATATCGATAATCCAGATAAACTGCTAAGGTGGAATTGTTGGTAAAATGCACAAGAGACGTGTAGCTAGATGGAACACGAGATGCTCCTATGTCAGAATTAAGGAACGTCGACGGAACAGAAAACGAAAACAGCGAGCCATTTTGCAAACGAATGACAACCGGATGACGTGACCGAGCACGAGATGGGACATCTGTCGGCTCTTATACGTCTACCGCGTTGCACGGGCGTTGCGAAATTATACAGCTGGCACTTTCTCGAGACAGGAACGAGTGCAGGGTGGTGGAAAGGGTCGTGTACAATGTGAAAGAGTCAAGGAGATGCAGCAACTCGATGGAACTTTATCGTGACGGTTCTTCAAATCGTAATAGCCGCGTGCGCAGTTTATGGCGGAAGTGTATCTCGTAAATATGCATCTCTGATGACGTCACGATCGAAGTGCATTTCAAGGAGATGCGGTTATAAACTTTCTAAATTCAGGCCCCCATTTAGGAGGGTGAGTCGCTTCCGCGAGACTTTATCGCGATCGTGACGTAAATGTTGGCCATTTCAATTTTTCCACGTATCCGTAAAATATATTTTAGGGTAGTTTAAAAGTAGCAAAAAGATGGTTTGGGGAGTTCCCGCGCATTCAGCTTCATGCAACGAAGATATTCTTCATTTATTCCTATAAATCTCTCATATTTTCAATGCACTGGATGCAAATAACGTTTGTATCTAATCTGAATAAATTTCAAGTTTCCTCATACTTTATTCATTTTTTTTTACACTTTTTTTTTCATGGTGCTATAACTTTTTATATTCGACGAATGTTTGCTCTGCTCTGTATTGGATATAGATATTTAGGTGTAATGTAATGGATATTTACGTGTTTTGCCGAAACAATTTTTTGTCTTTCAGACAAATAGATTATGATTTCGGATCCTTAACGCGGCTCGACGGAGAGGGTTGACAAAAAAATTTGGTGAGCCAAGCGGACCGTGCTCTTCTTCTTCGTGCGCGATTTTGAAGTGTTCATAACTTATGCCGGTGCTCGTTTTTTGCCTGTCGAAGCGCCGTATAAAACGAATTTATTGCGTCGGCGTATGCATGTCGTGACGGTAGGTGCCTCCGCGAATATTTTCGTGCACTTCTCTTGAATGACGCTATTGGAATTTCGCTCGTCGATGGGCCGATATTTTCAGGATGTCCTGCCTATTACCGAATACGGTTCTCTACTCATACTCTACTACCATCGGTCTTTTATCCACAAGAAATATTCGTTTGATCAAAAACGCGCATTGCTTGAGGATAACGTAGGTTTCTTTAAACAAAGGCTCTCTTAAAACTAAATTTTCCTTTTGAAAGCAGGAAAAACATTGTTTTGCAATTTTTTTCTTTACATTTAGTTGTTATTTTTGTGTCTTTTACCTCCCGGAAGTTTTCACTTTTAGTTCTTACTTTTTTTCTTAACAAAGAAAATAAGAGACTGGAAAAATGTGAATTCTGTATTTATGAACTGTATTTATGAATCTTTTAAATATTATGTGATATTTATTCAGTGTGATAAACTTATAGAGGACTTTATATCAAAACATAATCTTTTATCAAGAATGTAATCAAAATAATAGCGCGTGTATTTCGCACACAGAGAAATCGTTAGCAACTCTATCTTTAATTGTGATTGCAATCTATCGCAAAATGCCCCGCCATATTTCTCTCGAAAATCCATACCGACCTTTATCTATTATTAAATCTGTCAGATTGATATGCAATAAAAGCGTAACGTTAATGCACACTGTTATCGCGATACGAGTTATTACGCGATATCGCGTTTGCAAAACACATCGCAGTCGTCGCTGATCCAGCGCGTAGACGTATCTCATTTTGACGATGGTGTGCTGTCGCTATCGCTCTCGCACACCAGGTCCAGTTAGTTACACTTACAATTGCAATTATACACGCGGCGCGTGTCGTGACGCTGGTGAATTATCCCGTGGACAGAGCGCGTTTCACTAATGTCCCCGGCTTCCTGTGCGTGCAACATTACAACCGACATCATAGTGGCGGCAATATCGCCCCTGTCGTTTCCTTTATTTTTTTTCCCGTTCTCCACGCCTCCACCGCCATCGTCGCGACTACGTAGAAACAGCGTGTGATTTACGTGGAACCGGCATCGCCCGAGATCAGCCGGGAATCAACGCAAGCGTCGGTTGCGTGCCCGTCCGCTTTGCACGCACGCATTCGTCTCCTCACGCACCCCACTTGCGCACTTATCCCCCGAACAATTATCGGATTTCCGCACGGAATTCTCCCGCTCGAACTCACGTGGGGACGAAAGCCGACAGCTCGCCGGAGTCAGTTCGTCACCGAACAGGATAATGACGGATTAAGAAGCTAAACCTAGCTCGTTCATAAGCACCGTAATAATTACTTTTGCAAAAGTTATTATTTCGAAGCGGCCTTTAATCATGTGTTATCCGACAGAGATGATTGGAGTTCGAAAAATTTTAATGTACTTTATAATTGTATTATGTAATGATTATGTGTTATAATCCAATCTCGTTTTTAAGTATCATAATACATGCTTGTCACTAAAGAGAGTATTTTTCTCGGATTTACATCGATTATCTGATTATCACGCTCGAATAGGTTACGAAATTCTCGGACATTTAAAACCGAGAGCTTTTTTAAATTTTTTAGAAATGTTGAATAACAACAATTGAATAATCTTGAACAATTTTAATGCTTGCGGTAAATAGCAACAATAGAATGTATTTACATAAATAGTAATAATTGAATAATTTTGAATAATTTAAACACTTGCAGTAAATAATAATAAATGGAATATATTTGATAATAGAAATATATTTGCACTTGAGTATTATAGCAAATTGAGTATAAAGCTTTTGGACATATTGTTGTGGGAATCGATATTATCCGCTTCATCGATAGCCAACTAAAAAAAGAGTTATTCGTGTCGCTCGTATTCGCGCTACTGCATGAACTTCCGTGATTAAGTGTCGTTTTAAAATGTAACGCATAGAACATTCCGCGTTAAAATCTGTGGAAAAAGAGGGTGCCATGTCAGTTGTCGTGGGTCATTGTACTCTGCCGAGGACCGTGATTAAAAGCTGTTTCAAAACTGATGGCATACACCGATATGTCACTTCTTTTGAATGTTAAATGGGGCTACTCTGATTAAGCATACTTTTTACGAGCGTTGTTTCGAAGATTTTTATCATTTTACATGAAAGAGAAATTACAAATCCGACGTATTCATTGCTCATACTTTCTCGTAACATTATATTTTTGAATATCCAATACAATTGAAAGATAAAATATATTTACAATTGCAATTTGTTCCGCGAATATACATTTTTTTTATATCCGTGATAAAGTGCCGTTGCATTATTCCGGCGTCTCGAATGTGCTTTTAACTTTTGACACCTATTAAAAGTAGTACGTCTCTTCTTAACTGCTTACGTCGCACTAAACAAGATAACGAGCTAAAAGGTGCAAAAAGGTTCAAAAGCGGAACGCGAGGCACCGCGGTGCTCATTAAAAACTATGGTGATGGCGAAAAAAAAATAAGTAGGACAGTTTCGATGTTCCCCGACGTAAGCATCCTTCGCGAGCCTGTTTATGTCTTAAGCGCGGTGCACACTTGCAAACATCATTGGTGAATATCGCCGGTAAACGCATTATCAAACGTCCTATCAAACGCGAATGAGCTGCTGCCTATTTTTAACGAGCAGTTTTCCGATAATCCTCGACAAGCAAATAGCTCGCGCTGCTTGTTTCTCGTCGAGGGCAGAAAATAAGATGTGATTTCAAACGTGAACGTATTTAATATAACTCGGTTAATTTGTGGATATTCTTTCAAGCGTACATATGTCCAACGACGCAGCATGTGGTCCGTGTGGAATAAAATATATCCATATGTTGCCTTCTTTGTGCAATGGACAGTGACTTCCGCTTTTATTTTCTCTTTCAGCAGTATCTTTGAAAAGATTACTTCCGTATTTCATCGCGACTACAAATAATTGCCTTTACTACGTTCACATTTTCTTAGCAACAAAAATATATAAATAGCGTAAATTTTAGCTACATTTCTGCTCGACTAATATTTGAAACCGAGCGGTCTGGAAAATGTGAACGCGATGTAACACACTATCTATATTTAGAATGTACTTCAACTATTTGCTGTCGAAAACCGTAAACTGTTTTTGGACAATGTTTGTTAACGATGTTTGCAGTTCAATAAATGGATTTTGATGCGCTGATTAAAGGCATGTATACGCTAATAGCGTGCATACAAACACGAAAATCTGCAACGACTATAAAAGTAATTAATGCTTTTAAGAAAAAGTTTAACGGCAGTGTAGTTGGAATAATGTAAGTTTAGAAAATTAATTACGGATGTTGTCGGGAAAGCTAAGGTTTTATTCATCACACACACACACACGAAAAAGTTTTTATACAAAACAAGGAAAGACAATTGTTAAAAAAATATTTATGTTATAAAATACATATATTATATTATAACTATAGTATTGCTTCGGATATCACTGTAATGTAAATGTATTTATATTTATAATGGACAGTTTTCAAAAATTTGTCGAAATAGATTACCGTTATAAAACTTTACAAAGTTTTTATGTGAACTTTGTATGCCATGAAAAATAGAATTTCGGATTTTCTCAAAGAGACTCTTTAATTGCGACATTGCGGTGATATGTATAACGTTTCAGCAAGAGCAGGAAGAGAAATATCACAGTTTCGCGAAAACTTCTCTATGCGAGACGTACCATTTCCTGGCTGCAGTTCGTAGGCTGCAGACTGGCGCAAACTGCACTTGGGCGAATTTACTGCGCCGGAGATTCTAAGAAAATCTATTTAATCTCCCGTCCGTCGATGGAGC